GAGAAACACACTGAATAATAATAAAGATCTTCTTTATTAAGAGATATCATGAATATCTTTTTGGTTTTTACTGTCAAATATTCATCTGTGGTTACTGGTATCTGTAGTCTATTCTGCTGATGTGCACTGAATTGCTTATATTTATAAAAAAAAAAGCTTCTGAGTTTTTGCCCCAGCAGAATGGTGGGGTCTCTGAACAGTATGGTTACAAAAGTTTCAATATCAAATTTCCCAAACAAGATCTTTTCAAAATCTCAGCACTACGACTCAGTTAAAAACACTCTATAATTTGGAACACGTCTGCCAGAATTTTTCACTGACTTTGTTGGATCTTATTAAACATATGTCAGTGAGACACTTAGGCTGCATATTTAAAATTATTAAGGTGCCAAAAGTCAAGCTAAGTGTTCAATGGCAATAATTAGCTCACCAGAAAGATATAACTGCAATTAAATGTTTGTACTAGGATAATTTCAAAATGGTCCTGTTAATTGATAGAAACTGTCAGCCTCCAAAGAGTGATTTGGAGTACTTCACAGGGAATAAAAATACTATACTTTAGAAAGCATATTATATGATCATTTCTCAAACATGTTCCCCAGATGAAGGAAGGAGGAAGAAATTACTCTGGCTATATAGAAGAGAAGGCTTCAGGGAGACGTTATTGCAGCCTATCAGTACTTAAAGGGGGCTTATAAAAAGGATGGTGGCAAACTCTTTAGCAGGGCCTGTTGTGACAGGACAAGGGGGAATGGCTTTAAACTAAAGGGGCGTAGATTTAGACTAGATATAGGGAAGAAATTTTTTTACAATGAGGGTGGTGAAACCCTGGCACAGGTTGCGACTAGATGACCTTTAGAAGTCCCTTCCAACCCAAACTATTCTATGATTCTATGATTCTGTATTTCAGTTTACTTCATTGCTTTTCAGCCATCTGGCTTTTGCCCTTTTTGATCGATGAGACACTGGTTATAGAGCAGTGGCTTCTCATTCCCACCTGTGTGTGAATTGTAAACAAGGAACTAACAAAGACTTGTGTTTTGCATTCGGTTACATAAAAAGGAAATAAGTGTGGTAAATTTTTGCTATTATGGCCTGCAAGGAGACAGCTCTCAATCAATTTTTATACTGAAATAATTCCAGAGCTTTACAAAATAATTTCCTACTCATACCAGTGTCAAGGTTTTGTAGAGTACTAGTAGGATTATATACAGTGATGTGGCAGTGGAAAACTCCAGGCTAAAGCTGAAAAAAACTTCAGAGAAGTGTATTCATATACAAAATGAAGAACTTGTCCCAAAAAGTATTTTGCAGCAAGCTAAGTTTGTGTCTGCTGTATTTCACTGATCTGAGGTGCCCAAGAAATGAAACTGACCTCTTAGTTATAATGGATAATATCGAGTGCCTGATAAAAGAGCACAGAAAACATTGATAAAAAGCAGTACTATAACAGTGTAAATTAAGTTAAAAGGAAGCTTATATATTTTTGCAGAATGACTTAGACTCAGTAACTTTCAGTACTTGTGAAGCACTTTTAAATTATGCAGTTACTTTTGACTAAAATACTGGTAAAAGAAGGAGAAGCAGAGCAAGTAGTAACTAGTCATATACTATTTCACAAATGTATTTTCACTTTCCTAAATTTTATATAATATGCCATACTTAGAGAACATTCTCTGCAATTTATGTACACCACAAGGGCTACACGTCAAAATGTAATCCCATATGTATGGCGTTGTTTGGGGAAGGTACTTGTATTAAGACACAAATAAAAATTAATTTGAAAATGTACATCGAGTTCTTGTTTGCACTTTATGTTAAAAAACCCCCAAAACATAGGAGCATAATGGGATTGCAAAACCTTCTTTACCAAGACTAAAAAGAAGGAATACCTTTTCGCCTTTTGACCCTGCTGGACCGGGATGTCCAGGTCTTCCTGTGGCTCCCTGCACAACACAGTATTGGTTTGTATTAGTTAAGAAACACTGAAACACAGTATTTTTGCATTGTAGCTTAGTTTTTAAAACTTGTACTTTTTGAAGGTCATTTAAACCTAATTATGCCTATCCTCCAGGTTTAAATATTTATTTTCTGTTTGATACAACAGCTGTGTCCTTCTGATAAGCCCTTTGAAGGGTAAAACTTGTGTTTGCGGTTGCATTTTCACCTTGGCAGACTAAATGCACTGACCTTAACTGGCACCTCTTGATACTGCTAAGAATCACGCTTTACTGCTAAAATGCCAATTTACATATTCCACATTAAACTTCCTAAATGTATTACAATTTTTGAAAGAAGGGAAGCATTAGTACCATCAGCAACCTAGGAATGAATAATGATCATACTAACTAATGTGATCCCATTCATTATGTAGAAAATAAAATTTAAAAAAATTTCCAAGAGGAGTTTTCCCAGAAATACCAAAATTTTTAATGATATTTTTCAGTGACTTTATGTATTGTCAGCTTATTCTCATACTTTTTAAATTGTGAAACCAAGCAATTACTTGGTTTCAGCATTAAATGTTTTCAGAATGCCTAGCTGGAATTATTTTTAGATTTTTATTACTAACATTATTACTGTAAGTTGGGTACAAATACATAATTAACTGCAAGTTCGCACATCGTAAGTCATGTAACCTCACAGAGTCTCTAGGAATGCCAAAACTCCAAACCCATTTAAGTTACATAAACTTTGAGCCCAGACAATGACAGTATTTTCAGTAACATCAACTCACAACATAGTTTCTTTTATTAGAGCCAGTACGGGTAAGATTTTACTATTGCTCTCCTAAAAGCCAAAAGAAAGGACAAGAAACTAAGAATATGAAGTTTTACTAGATAGTTATAGCAACCCCTACAGAGATAGATTAGATCACAGGTGATACCACACACTTACAGATGGTCCACTGGGTCCTGGTATGCCTGGCAGTCCAGGAGCACCTTGAAGGCCCTAGAAATTAAAAGAGCATATGTCTATTTCCTCTCCCACTTATACCTCAAAAACTACTTATATTCAGCATGTCCAGCAGTATTATAACTACAGTAAAGCGCATTTTAATCTAAAAGGTTGGCATTATTTTTAGGAATGAAAAAAAACCCCACCATGCAGGGAAGAGATTATCATTGAACAAGGTTAGAGGCAACTTCTTGCTTGACTGATAAACACCACTTGTCCTTCAACCTTTCACATTGTTAGCGTATGTCCTGTATATCTTTTTGTCTTTAGTTGTGCAGATAAGAGCAGGACATCTGGCTTTTCCTTAGAGATTAATTTTCTATTTCTTTTCAGTGTTTAGCAGCAGGTTTTGATTACGGTACTTTGAGCGTGTAAGTGAATTTATTTCAGAAACACTGAAATTTAAGTGCTAAACACTGAAAATATCAGAGCTAAGGCAGCTAACCAGCTATCAAACAGTGATGAAGCATGTGAATAGCTAACTTACTAACACAGCTCTATCCTGTACTCTTAAAAATTAGCATTTAAATGTATGTGAGGCTTTTAAATATACAAATGAGCAAAAATCCTCAGACAAAAATTAAATAGATGTTATTTAATTGAATAATAGCATTTAATCTTGCTGAAAATTCAGAATCGAGGGCTATTTATAGCAATACATTACTATCTCAGCAGTTTTAAAGAAGTGAATAACATTCTGTGCATTTCATTCTCGGTCTAGATATTTATTCAGGTTCAGATAAGAATGCAACTGCTATAGAAATGGAGTAATTTTACCTCATCACCCTTCTCTCCAGCAAGCCCAGGAAATCCACGTTCACCTTTGCTTCCCTATGAAAATATAACATTCAGACAAATACCTTCTATTAGAGAACAATGAATTTCATGCTCTGCAGGGCATTTTATGACCCACATTTAATATATGCTAGCATGAAGCCCTTACAGCTATAGTGCCTAAAACAGAAAAAAGGGCTCAATACTACCTGAAAGCTTTAAAACACGCCTCCCATCGAGGTGAAAGGAAATGACTGCTTTTTACCTAGTAGGCAAACTAGCCAAAAGGCCTGAGGGAGACATCTTATTAATACCAAAGAGCTTAAATGCTTGCTGAAATGGAGAAAGTACACTTTCATGGAATTATGCTCAACTATAGGGGATATCTGTATGCCAAAGCACGTGGCATTTCATCCTATTACAGTGAAGGAGAAGTTTGATGGTTATCAATGAAACTTCAAGTCCCAGTGAAATGGCTGCATTACTCCCATGGGAACAAGGTGCAAAGGCACAGGGTGGTCCAGCTGTTGCACACTTGAGGGAGATACGGGAAGCTTCCTTCTTCACCGCAGGATTCTTGTGTGACTGACTCACCTAAAATAAACATAAAGATGGCAATGCGCTACTGGACAGTCAAATCTGAGCTAGCTTTAATGGACACAAGACACAAAAGACCTATTCTGGCTTGGGATTCAACTCAGGCTATTTCGATCACTTTCCTGAGAGGAAAGGCGAACTTACACAGGAAGAGGGCTGAACCATAAAAATTGTTTGAACCTTTAGGCTGCTCAGATGCTACAGGGATAGGGATCAGACAAAAAAGTCAAGACTGTCAGAGGTAAGGGTCTGGCCTTTTACTTTTAACAAGCAACAAAGCAATGTAAAGTACTCTCTTCAAAACTTACCTTTGGCCCTTCTCTACCAGGGATGCCTGGAGGACCTCTTGTGCCGGGATCACCCTGAGGACCAGACATAAAGCAAAGTGATAAATAGCCATTTTGTGACACAGGCGGAAGGTCTGATCTATGCAGACTGCTTCCTTCCTGCCTTTGTGACTATCCCTTCATTTTACCCCAAAGCCTTCTCTTCAGTCCTTTCTTCTACACAAAGTACTTGTTCAGATATCCTTCCTTGTTTGCCTCCCCATCTCTCACACACTCTACTCAAACCATGCTAACAAATTTTTAGCTTCATTTTGAGAGGAATCATAAATGCCTTCATTTGGATAGTTCCAGATACACCTGTGTTTAGGTTTGAGGAGACCATCTTCCTTTTAAGGATTAGGTAGAGATGGAGACTACTTGTTACTCTTGCCAGCTTCAAATCTACAGTTATTTTAAACTAAATGATTCCTGCTTTGTTGAGAAAAGCATTTTCCAGCTAAATTACAACCTTATAGAAGCGCTAACCACAAAACAGAGAGAAATGAAGAATGAAGCATAAAGAATCGGTAAGAGAGAGAACTGACAAAGAGGTAGAAGAGCATGTACAGGAGAAAGAAAATACAATTACAAACAGAAAGAATCAGGGAAAAGCCCAAACACAGACCTAAAAGAAATCAAATTTGGGTATGAGAAAGTCAATAAACTCTAAGTACATGTATTAATAAAGGACAGTAGAATAGGATAATCTCTCTCCTCAAAAATGATGTGTGCTTTTCATATAGAAATCCTCCTGAGCACAATTTTCATCTTGAAATATGGCAGATCACTTCAATTTTTATTATTTTTCAAAATAATACCTTAGAAATTCTAGACTATTTTCCCCCTTTGGTATATTACCAATATTAATGCTACAAGGTAAAGTGGAGAATGCGGTATACTCGTAGCAATCCATACTGTGGGCTGGATGTACTGAACAGGCACTTGGCTGGCTACTACCTCACATACTGTTCAAATGCTATTTTGCAAAATGCCTATCAAATACATTTCTTGAGTATTTTTTAAAATCAAAACAAAACAAAAATGTCAAAATTATTTTAGGCTAGCCAAATAGTTCAGAATTGAACCTACAGAAACTTTCCAGTGCATATTTTGGTTTAAAAAGCATGCTTATAGTAAACAAAGATACTTAACCTCTGACAATGTTTACCTTCAGTATAGCACCCATGTCTCCCACAAGTGGCAGTGCAATCTGAAATTAAAAAAGGCAGCTGCAGTTAATGTTTTACACAACACTACCAATTCTGATGAGTTCTCATTGCTTCTAAAGTTTACATTGTTACATACATAACTGAGTACATATATATTGGCTGAAGCTATTTTTTACTGAAAACTCTAAAGAAAAATCAGGGTTTCAAATACAGTTTTTGAATGTTAAATATCGCTGTCTATCCAACCTAACAATGTAATTCTTTGTTACAATTTCAATAAAGTTGCTTAAAGCATGACAACAGCATAACTCCAGAACATAGTAAATTGTACTTTAAAATATTAATAATATATTGTTGTTTTTTGTAGCATACCAGCAACAACTTATTTCTATTGGAAATTCTCACAGACTATTCTCACCTGATTATCTTCAACTGTTTTCCTTCTGCTTTCTCCTAGGCTTTGACTCTACTGTGAACTGTAGCATGAATTGTGGAGATGCCAAAGCTAACTTCAATAGGCTAACTCAGATGCTGGAAATAATCCAGCTACAGCAACACAAGCAACAGATACAGTATTTTGTCCTGCCTTTGAACATTAAGAATTAGTGCAAAACCCTGTGGTGCCACAGCTAAATTGCTACCAATACTAAAGCTAACCCATTTATAGCTCAGCCAATAGGTTTACACTGTACTGCAATATAGAATCATAGAATCATTAAGGTTGGAAAAGACCTCTAAGATCATCAAGTCCAACCGTCCAACCG